CAAAAATTTTTACAAATTTAGGTTTAGATTATGAAGAACGTGTGTTACCATTAATTACTAATGAAATTTTAAAATCTATTGTAGTAAGTCTCAGATATTTTGTTTTTGTTACTATGAATAATTAAATTGATTCTTGTGCTCAATTTGATGCTATTCAATTGATTATACAACGTACACTTATTTCCCAACGTGTTAGTGAATTAGTCACAGAATATGCTGCTCAATTTGGTTTATTACTTGATGATATTTCAATTGTAAGATGCAACAAAAAAAAGTCTCAAGTTGATTATATATATATATATTTTTTTTTTAAATTGGACGCATTTAAGTTTTGGACCTGAATTTACAAGCTCTGTTGAATTAAAACAAGTTGCACAACAAGATATTGGAAAACAACGACTTTTAGTCGAAAAAATAAATGAATAATAATAAAATTTGTATGATTTTTTTGATAAAAAAACAACAGGCTGAACAAAATCGTCAAGCAAATGTTATTGCAGAAGAAGGTGTTGCTCGTACAGCTGATTTGATTGGCAAAGCTTTAGATGAAGCTGGTGATGATAAATTTTCGAATGTCTTTCATTATCTTGTCTTACTTTTGTTTTAATATTCATGTTAGGTTTTTTTGCTCGATTAAAAAAAAAAGAAGAGCAGATCAAAAATTCTCTAGATGACATTAAAGTTTCGAATACTATTGAAATGATGAATTTCGATAATCTCTTTCGACATTTTATATTAACTCAATCATTTCTACGTGGTTGGGCAAATTCATTGCATTTACAAGAAATTTCTACCTATCGACGTGAAAAAATTGATGTAAGAGGCGAATGTTTAAAACTTGTACCAGCTGAAAATGTACAACAAAATACTGTTGAAATAATTAAGCAAAAAATAAAAAGCAATCAAAATTATACAAATGCTCGATTTCGTTCACCACTTGCCAATTATTTACTATACATTTGGTAGGAAATTAAAATCATTTTAATCATTTAATTAATATTATCTTTTTTTCTTTTGTTATATTTATTTGAATAGGTTTCACCTCAAGTAGCTACAGCTCATTTTCAACTTGTTT